ATAGACATAACCAGAGTATCAAAGGTCATCTCTTGTGATAAAGTTGGAGTCAGTTGAACAGAGATTAACTGGCTAGTTATCCTGAAGACTGCCCTTCTGAAGGGTTTGGGACTGTTACTGTTGGGAAGAGGTCCATCCAGTGGTCAGTTATCTTTCCTGCACCACCCTTAGTAAGAAAAGACACTAACAATTCACGTAAAATCATCAGAGGCTGCTCTTGTCTGCTAGAAACTAAGAGCTGCAGACAGTTTCCAGTACTGTCTAATACAGGAAGACTTGTTTGTCACCAGAACCACAAATACCAAACATTACTTCCACAATGATGGTTAAAAAAGGCACATCTAGCCTGACTTTTACTTTCTATTACAGGTTTCTAATATGTACTAGAGCTGCTAGTATAGTTCAACACCTCTGTGGTTTAAGTGTTTGGCAACTTTGCACTAGTAGCATAAATAGAAATAGATAAGAATCAGGAGTGGAGAGGCATCTAGCACTGACCGTCTCAGAGTCAGTCTGCTCTCTCTCAATCTGTGGCTGCTACCCATGTGAAAAAGCAGGTAGACACACTTAAGCATGTCCTGTAATATTGATAGTGGTTTGGTTAACCTACTTATTGCTGAATAACAGATTCAATCTAATTGGGTAAGACAGTTCTGGGACAAGCTGTGCTGGTTTGGGGAGAGGGGGGAATACTGTCAGCAGTGGTAGCTTGCCAGTAGCATATTGATATAGCTGGCTAAAAAGGAGCCTAGTCAGCTCACACCTGACCCAGGTAGTACTAAAATGTACATTAGATGTCTGGAGAACTGGGAGATGCATCCTCAGGGCAATTCTGGATATTTGCTGTATTGTGCCAAACATGCAGCTGTAGGACCAACAGGCATCCAGAGTGTAGTCCGCTCTTGTCAGCGGCTCTTAAAGGACCTAGGTGAGTTTTGAAAGGGACACTGATTTTTAACTCAGAGGATTGGGCTGCATGCCCAGCCACTTTGGGTGGTGCTTTAGCTTAAATCTATTCCACTGAATGACATGAACTTTGCTGAGAGACAAAGTTGTAAGTAAGGAGCTGCCACTCAGATATTACTAAATGTGAAAGCCTGACTCTAGAAATTCAGGGAGTTGGAGGTTTAAATCTCTTGTAAAGCAGCACAACTGAAGCAGGAAGGAGAGTGCATGTTAGATTAGGACTTCCCTTGGCAGGAGGGAAAGAAGGGTTTTCACTTACTGTTGAATTGTGGGGTGTTTTTTTTCCTGCCTAGGAGGAATAAACCCCCAAATGTCTTGTGGTTCTGGAAATTGTCTGAAACAACTAACTTGTAAAGTTTGGCACTGAAGTCCAAATAGTGGCACTGTTTGCACACTATGTGGCTAATAAGGTCAGAGTAGTTGATGGCGAGGACCTAGAAGCCATGGTGTTGGCACCCAACTTAGGGTTAGTCTGAATGTCACTAATGACCCTTCTTGAATTTTGACATGACTAATTGACTATTAGTGGTCATGGTAAATAGTTGATCTTGGAACCCTTCTCACAATGGGAAGAGAATGTTCAAGTATTCCCAGACAAAAACTGACTTACTGCAACCATTCACTATGGTTTAATAAGAATTCTGTAATGCCTGAGTTCATGGAAGTGTATAGTACCTGTTGACAGCAGAGTAACTGAAACACCCTAGCAGGATGCTACTTCTATGCATTTTGAGCTCTCTTAATTTGATTCGCTAGGTGTCTTGATCACTTTCTTAATTACTGTAGCATTGCTGGATGTTTTTTTTTGCTTGGTTTATAGATTAGATTTTTCTTGTGTGATATATTCCTTCTTTCTCTTGAACTTAAACTGCTCAACTCTGAGTTTCAGCATTCTGAAGGACAACATTAGCGAGAGTTGCTTGGCTTTATTCATAAACTGAGGACTTTGTGGTATTTATCAGGCTTTTGGCAACTCCGTATTATTGGGTCCAGAGAAAAACCGCAAAACTTCATTGCAATGGTTTTCCATTTAGCAGCAAACAACTTTGGAATAAAACTCTTTAGCTAGATGTGCTTTGACTTTTGGGGTACTTCAGTCTAGACTATACATCTCTAGTTAACATTATTTGATGTTGATCTGCCAAACTTGTTAACATCAAGTTTTGAGCTCTGGCCACCCATTAAGCTGATTAGCCTGTCAAAGATGACTTGAACTAACATTACTTCAATGAAAGGAACTATTTGTTCCATCATTCTTCCAGTTATCACACTTGTATAACCTTTGGTCATCTTTCTCTTCCTCATTAATGGTGCAGTTTTTGGAGGATGCCAGAACTGCTAGTCTCATCTGAAAGAAGTTCAGCTTTCTTCAGTTGTCCATCAGTAATCCTGATGAGATGTTAAGGGTTTAAATGCAACTAACATAACTGGTTTGAGTTGTGTGGCTTCAGAGCAGACTAAGCTTAGATTTTTACAAGATAAGGGAACTCATGCTATGCTGTTGGTATTGACAGAGGTGACCTAAAATTTAACTTCACAGCAAAAAAAAAAGTATAGCTGGGGAAGCTATTTTACTCAAGAAAAGTAAAATGACCTATCTAGGTGCTTGTTAGTTCATATAAGCTACATATTAAGACTTCTAGTTATGGTAAATAGCCTGGGAGAAGGAACTCTGACACAGTATCATGCATATCCAGCGGTCATTTGTACATTTAACTTTATTTTTCTAGCCTCAATTCCCATCATGTAGGACGAGTTAAGAGCAAAAATAATGGTAGGAGTGTAGGGTATCTCCTGATAAATAAAAGCAAGAACTGTCAGAATGCCAAGACCTGCTGCTGTGATAAACAGGACTCTCTTGTTTATTCCTTACATTGGGAATGACTGCTGTAGAAAGTCTTTAAAATGAGAGCAAGGTTGGCACTATCTGAATCTTATGATAACTTATCTTTTGCAGTGAAGTAAAGGACAAAGATCAGACCTGGCTATAATTTTTTTCATGTTTTCAACTTATGGTTTACTCCTGTTACATTGTAAACTGGGAAGCAATAACAGTTCCCAAGCTCTGATACAGTTTTAAATTGAACTTAATTCCTGTGATGCTACTGTAGGGGAACAGTATTAGTTCCTAACGCATGACATTATGCAAGTATTTCACTTCATGTTGTTGAAGTTACTGGAAAGTATGGTGACAATATGTGCTGAATCATTTTAGATGTGAAAACGCTGTGGTTAGAGAATGCGGAACTTCGCATTGCATGCATGCAGCCACCTCCATACCCCCAAAATACCCATGACTGCCCTGTAGCTTAGCTCCTCATCTACACCTGAATTCCTAAAACACAGAGAAAGAATACTTTTGTGGTACCGTCAGATTTACCTCAAGGTCCTAGAACTACCACAATGATTAATCTGCTGATGTCCTTCCCACACTGCTGTAGTAAGCACGTAATTTTCCTGTCTTCTTACTTCCATGATTATACATACTGGAGACTTTAAGTCTAGTTTCATCTCATCACTTTTAGCCTTTCCCCTCTAGGGGTATGATCCACTTTCTGTACTGCTCAACGCTGTTCTCGCACATGGTGAAACGACTACAGCAAAATTTTGCTGGACACAGGAAAGGGAATAACAAATCCCTGGCCGAACTGAGCATGGCTGGCTAGCGATGGTGGTTTATGCAGCATCATACTTTAAAGTTGAACATCCAGAAATAAAGTCCTCTTTATAGAGCTTTATAGTTCTCTGGAACTTCATTGTAGCTGCTGTTGCTTTCAGGCAATTCTAACAGCTGCTTAGTCAACCTTTTCTGAAAATGTCTATAGGGAATGAGCTGATCTGTACACTGAAGTACTGACATTAAAATGAGGCAATTGAGCTAGAAAAGCATGCTGTTGAACAGGATCCCTTGTCAAGTGCTTTCACCTAATGAATTTCTCGCTCTTTCTGAGAAGATGAAAACGCACAATTCTTGTAACGGGTTATCCTCACTAATCAAAGGTGGACTTGAATACAGCTGTGTTTCGAATTAAAATTCTTACTTTGTCTATTCTAAACCTGCATATGCACTAAAAGCTGAAGTGATGATACGCTGTCAAATTATAAAGTACAGGGACTACTTTTCCCAATGAAGACTTCTGAACAAAGTAGAAAGCTTTTATTAGTAGCCTGAGCTTCCCAAGCAACATGCTAGCACTTAGCACTGCTATGCCTACTCCAGTAGAAACACAGCATGATGGTCTGACCATCCAAAGAGAAGAATAACTGAACTGGCACTTGAATTCTACATTTCAAGTATACTGACTAAAATAGTTGAACTTAAGAAAAGTCTTTAGCTAACTCTACTCACTGATCATTGGTTTTCTTCTTGGCATTTTTTTGTGTGAATAAATGTACTTTACCTATTCTGATAATCTTGTATCAAATCCTGAGATTGCTGTAGAACTCCCAACAGTTGGAAATTATTCCAGAGAAGGTCTTAAACTTAAAAGATAAAGGTTTAGCCAGAACTGTTAAACTAGCTTCTATTGAGCTTGTCCCGAACGACAAATCTATAATGTAGGTGACTTCTTCAGAAGATGCTTTGAAGGCTGTTAGCTGTGGAGCTTGTAGAAACCTTTGTTACTCAGCCTCCAGAAAAAGTCTCTGTATTTCTCCTAAGTCTCTAGCTGAAGTGACTAGGTTTAGATATAAATCTTGCAGAAGTTTTCTGAGGAAAGAATCATTTGTATATAACTGTGCTTGTAGTGTTTTTAGGCATTACTTCTAAAACAACACTAGTCAAAAAATAAGTTTAAAAAAATAAATCAAAGTCATAGTTGAGATTGCAAACTGCTTTTAGCATCTGGCTTGTATGATATATATAATGCTGTTTCCTTGAGATAACATAAGATGGAAGAGGCAATGTTGTGTGAACTAAGTGACTAGACCTAAATGCCAAACTCGTTTGTACTAACCTGGTACAGCAGTCCATTTACATTGTCTAGCGTTCATGCTTAAATATAAATATACTCTGTCACTGTCCTTTCTTTCAGGCCAGGAGCGCTTTGGAAATATGACCAGAGTATACTACAAAGAAGCAGTTGGTGCTTTTGTGGTCTTTGATGTCACAAGAGGCTCCACTTTTGAGGCCGTTTCAAAATGGAAGCATGACTTGGACAGTAAAGTACTACTTCCCGATGGCAACCCCATCCCTACTGTTCTTCTTGCAAACAAGTGTGATCAGAAGAAAGATGGCAGCCAGAATCCCTCTCAAATGGACCAGTTCTGCAGAGAAGGTGGCTTTGTTGGATGGTTTGAAACCTCTGCCAAGGTGAGCGTAAAAAGGAAATACGTTTTAACTCTTCTAAGTGTAGGTATAAGAATGGGTGAATATAGTCATGTGGGGAAGAAAATTATCAAGTATAGGAAGTGACAGTCAAGTCTCCAATATTCAGAAAAAGTTGGAAGACTTACAGCATATTTGATTAAGATTAAAACTGCATCTTAAATTCAGGGAACTTTAAAACTAACTGGTAAACTTGATTAACTGAGTTCATTAAGTTGTTTGGGTTTTTTTCTTGCATGTGCCAGGATTAGTGTCGTTCTTCAAATATTAGTACTACTAAACACTGATCAAGCTGTCAAAAAGACACAAGTAATCTTTAGGTGCAGGTTTCTGAATTGCAGCTTCTGTTTCACTGTGACACATAGGAAGTGGTAAGACTCCAGAAGGGTACAAGCTATTTGCTCGCTTATTACTACCCAGATGATGATGTCACTAAAGCAGCCTTCTATGCAGTGTCAAGACTGAACTTGAGAAAAACAAATTGTTCTGTGTATTAACTTAAACTGAGATAGATAGCTACTTTATGCAAACAGATAAGTTTGAGTAACTTCATATATTGTAGAGTTTTAGCCTATGTTTGATCAATGAACAGATAAGCTTGCAGTAACTTAATTGAAAGTGGAATCCCACAGTTCCGAAAACCCAACTGATCCTTAAAATGAAAGATTATTCTAGATGAAGACAATATGGCTGACAAACCAAATTACTGGTCTGGTTAATAAGTCTTTTATATGGTTAGCTAAACCTTGAAGTCCTTATTTCCCCTTGGCTTGCCTACTTCCTATAACTGTTGCTTATGAACTGGCACAAAGTGATACTTAGACAACTCCTGAAGGGGAAAAAAAAATCTGTAAGGGGAATATGATAAGAAACAAAGTAACAAACTTCTTCCTGATCACTTTAAGGAGGAAGGGTACACAGTGACAGGGCTTAGTTAAATTAGCTAATCATTTGAACAAATAATTATCAAACCCACCCATCTGTTACTAAAACCTCACATTTTTAAGGTTTTTTATGTTCATATAGAATACCAAGATTCTGCTTTGGGTTATGTCTTCCTTGAAGCTTCACCTGCCCATAACACTGCTATGTATGAACTTCAACATGCTGTTAAAAATAAATGCAAGAAACTTCATATAAAAGCCTACCATGAAAGTGTAGTGGCAGTTTGCACTTTAGGTGGCATTTAAGATATGACAATGTAAAACAAGGCTCTTGGTGCAGAGGGAAGTCCAGACAATATTAGTCCTAGTTAAGTTATGAATTGACTTGCTTAATAGCTTAGAAAAAATTCAGGACAGCTTTCTTGTTTTTCTAAGCATCGCACATCAGTTTATGGCTTTAACTCCTGCCCACTTAAATATTCTGATAATCTGCTCTTGCCTTTCTGCTGGAACTGATACTTGAATCTTCAGTCTAGTCATCAGAAGTATAGGTCCCACTCCCTGTGCAGTAAGGAGAATATTGAAGGAGAAAGAACTGCAGATAGTATAAATATTCACAGAAATATCTTACGAACATCCTTACACTAAAATGAGGAGAATGCTTCTTCATTCTGGACAGGGAAAAGTGCCTATCTGCAAAATGCCAAAAGCAGTTTATGATTGACAGCCACAAGCTTATAAAGTATAGTAGTGATGGACCAAATGTTTTCATGATCTAACCTTGCTTGTGTGGAGTTCAGATCTACAATTATTGAGACAGAAGAATGCACTGGGGTGGTATTTCCCTTGGAACCAAAGAGCAGCAATTCCAAACATGGCAGCCCTATGGTGAGCTAACAGGTGGCCCAGCTGAGTCAAAGCTGTGGCCAAAGGCCCCTTGGCACTGGCCAGCTTGGCACCTCAGTAGCTGAGATACCTTGATGAAATAGATCTCTAGATATCCTGCATGCACACCTTCGTTAGAGTGTATGTGAGAATACTTTTCAAAGCGTGCACAGGAAAATGTAGAGTGGCTAAATGAGGCACCCAGATTTAGCTGGGGTTCTGAGGCTGCTAGAAAAGGTCCTTGTACGTAAATAAGTGCATCCAAACTGCAGCAGAAGTAGAAAAAGGCCCCCAAATATAGAACACTATTATGAACAGCCTATTATGTTTCCTGATGCAGAAATTCACTTAGGTGTTTGAGTTTTCCAAATGGGGAGGACGTTTATCCCCTGACTGCTGCATGCTAGAGTTGAAGTATTGTATCTGTAATATGGGTGAATAACTTTGTCTCAAACCTTTCTGGTAACTTTTTTCAAAAAGCAATAGTATGAGCAATGACCTGATGCATCTGAGCTGTTTGTCATGCTGATGAGACTGTGGAAGAGGTTTTTGTATTTGGTCAGCTTCTAGTGGGAATGTGTGACTATTTCACAAAAATCACTGACTACTTTGCTTTGAATGTTTTTAGGACAACATCAACATAGATGAAGCTGCTCGATTCTTGGTGGAAAACATCCTTGCCAACTTCAAAACCTTTCCTAATGAAGAGAATGATGTGGGGAAACCAAAACTGGACCTAGACCCATTGAAAGCAGAGAGTAAATCACAGTGCTGCTAATGCTACCACTGTTCAGTAAAAGTGATGGGATGAGCAGCAAGACTGTTCCTTAAATCAAACTGCTGCTATGGTGCTGCATTGTGACAATCCATATGGCATGTCTGGTGTTATCAGAATAGGTGATTCTTGTGGGTGTTTACATATTATTGTTTAGTATGAAACTGAGTATCTTGTGAGTTATCACTCCACTTGCTTGAGTGGCTGCATCTAAGTCTGATTAGTGTTGTCTTACTTGAGAACATAAGGTAGTGTTTACACTCCTAAAAAGGAACAAACACAACATTCAGTGTCTAGTTTCCTTCTAGGACATATGCTACATTCCAAATAGGACTCACTTGTCATGGTTTTAGCTGAATAGACACTTTCACCTTTAAAGTAAACTTTTCCTTTGCCACCAGTAATGTCCCACTTTAGCCTTCTCACCTACACACTTGTCCCTATTTATTATCTCCCACCATGAGGATCTGTCTCATTGATAGTTCTCCTGGATCAAGACATCCCGGAAATCTTGAAGGGGCCAATGACAAATGGAAGTATCTTTCTTAGTGTGTTCACTAGGACTGGGTGAAGTAGATGGCCTTTACCACCGAGTAAGAACAAGATGGGTAAATGACTGTACTTAACAGGGGAAAGACATGATTATAGAGATACTAACAAAAATGCATCTCCAGCCATTTAAAGCAGAATATTTTTCAGCTAATACTTTACATACGAAACACATTAATGAAAGTTGTACTCCTGTCACATAGCTATGGTAACCTCACCCATATGCACATCCAGAAATAAACATACAGTAACTTTTTCAAGCACTAACACTGAAAACTTTACCAAGCACGCAAAAAGTGAGTATCTTATTGCTCTGTGATAATGAACTTGCTTCTTTTTCCTTCTGTCTTGAGATGGTTCTGAAGGAGGAGAGATCTTGAAGGAAATAGCTTAACTTGTTCTTGCTAGCCTATAAAAAAAACCACCAAGCTCTATCTTTTTTTAATTTTAGAACAGTGCTACAGTTCGCTTCTGACTATTGATGAACTGGCTTACCAATTTGTAACTCTGTATACTGAGATGCTTATGTTTCCTTGTTATAACTTATACGTAGTTTTGGCAGCAAATGAAGATCAAAGGATTAGAGAGATTTCACAATTCTTGAATACATTCTGGAACTCTGGCTCTGTCTGGCTGAAAGGTTTTGAAGCTCCTCTTTATTTTAAGGATTTTTTTCTGTCCTGGTACCTCATGGCTACTGACTTCAGAAGTCTTATCTTGCTTGGTCTGATGGCACTGACGTTTAAGTAAACATCATGAAGTATGTGCCAGATTGGATATACTTCATGAGATTTTCCAGACTGTCTTTTTTTCCTAAAGAGTAACGTACTTTTTAAGAGACAAATAAATATATTTGGGCATCTTATGTATGTTGTTGGTGTATGTTTTTGAGAACATGAATCTTCACGTAACGTGTCCCACCCTATATATAAATACTTTTATTGACATTTGAAAATTACTTTATCTGCTCGTAGCTGCTATGTTAAAGGCTTATTTTAAATTACCACTGTAAGGCTTTGCATAAGCTAAAACCAGGTTTAACTAGTTTAGGATCATAAGATAACTCAGATGAAAGAGTTCTTAGAAAGTCTTCAAAGCCAACATCCTTCTGCAAGCAAGGTCATACTAGTGTGCTTAGGCTTTCATGTGGTCTGATCTTAAACTGTATGGCCCTGGGAAAGCTGTTTCAATGCTTGACTGTCCCCGGAGAGTTTAGTCTGAACTTTTCTAACTTCAACTGATGTCCATGGTCTCATCCTCTTACCATGCAACAATGTAAAGAATGTGTCCATTGGGCTTGTGAAGATTTATTGGACACTTACAGCTTGATTGCTACTTTAAAATTTTTTTGAAAGCCTGTAGCGTCTCAGAAAAGAAGTTGCGCTCCATGCATGTTCCTTATGTGCTAGCTTGCTTGAGTTATTAATTTTTCTAGGTAACCTGGAACTACATAATCTTCCTATTCAGTCACTTGCAGAACAACTCCATTTAGACTGTAAACTCAATTTTAATAAGACACTTAATCTCCAGTGTATTGTCTTTCTCTAAACTTTAATTATAGCTGCACAAGTTCAGTAACTAACCAGTGGAATGTGTGCAGAGCCTGTTTGTTTGATGCATCTTGACTGAAACATGGTAAGTCTTGATGACCAGTCAAACAAGATGCAGTTTCGTATTCACTTGGCTTCAACTGTAAATTTATTGAGCTTATGCAATATAATGAGGTTTGTCACTAATGGGCAAAAAAAGGCCAATTGTCGAGCCTGTCTAGTATGGCATAGAAGGTTGGACTACATTCAAATGCTAATACCTTAAATATCTACTTTACTGGGGAAACTGCCAATGGAGGTAGACTGTTTTTTCCCCAAACAGCTATTGTGCTTTTTCATGTTATCAGTTTTCAGATTCAACAGCAGAATGAAAACCAAACTCTGAAGCTTTATGACTCTACTTGAATGTATGAATCTCATCTTGATCCTGCCAGTGACAGTGTAATCCTATGCAGATTAGTTTCAAGAATGTCTAAATTTCTGCTTGAAGAGCTACTGCTGCTATGTATAAGCACTTTCCTTATTCTGTATATGGGTTGTCTTCTAAAGCTCTACACGGGTGTAGAAAGGCCAGGACTCAAGTTTATGGTGGAGTATACTAGTTCTGATACAGGTTGTCACTCAGTGAAGAAGCTGAGGCAGGGTGAGGTTCAGGAACTACCATCTCCAACAATGAAAACCTAAAGGTTTAAAGGGACTGCGTAGATTGTATTGCAGAGCAGACTGACATTTCCTAAGTCTAGTAGTATAAAAACCAATTTGACTTCTACCTGCATGAGAGTCTCTTTTTTTTAACCTTTCAGGGGAAAAGAAGTTGGAGCTTTAATAGATGGCTTGTCTTCCTTCATGCTACAAACTACGTTTTCACTCCTGTTCCTTGGAGGGAGCATTACTGTTTTTGAAACTAGTGGGTGGAACAGGAAATCTGATACAGCTTGAAAGTGAAAACTATAAGAACAGGCTGGCATTCTAGTCTGAGGAAGAGAATGGGAGCATCTCCCTGATAGAGGAGAATGATACTGTAGTTTGTGGAGAAGTGTTTAGGTCAGTTAAACTAGTCCTGAAGCCCTGTCCCAATTAACCCAAGAGCTTCGATCTGGAAAGATATATGGAAGTTCAGACAGACCCAATTTAACTTCAGATTAATAAGTGAGCAAAGTGTCAAACATAATTTGTTTTACATGTACAAGATATATAGTAAAGTGATGATTCATCTCCATCAGATGAACAGAGGAGGGCCTGTGCTATTTTATTTCATTATCTCTTGCAATCTGAAATATGTCAATCTTAAATGAGCAAGTACCTGACTTTCTAGTCCTTATTTCAGGAATGGTTTGAGTAAAAATCTGAATCAGTGCCTCAGCAAAATGTCTTTCCTGGCATGTTTCCATCAACTGATTTCATAAAGGCTAGAGATTGCATATTGTCTTCCTAGGTTGTAGCTGTGCAGTATGTCTGTGCAGCTAATGCAAAGTCAGCCTCTGTTTGTTTAAAAAGCTTAATGAGGCACTACAATTGCTGAGAAAACTAGAAAGGAGTTAGTGATTAGTGATCTTTCAGTATGGGATTTTCTAGGTGTATCTTAACTGCAGTAGTAGAAAAGTATGAGCTATTCCAAGCTCCAGAGTTTTGTTAGTTTAAACTTTGTCAGATGTATTGAGTTTTAATAGCATTCAGCCTCAAGTGGAACAGATACTTGTTCATCTGTAGTGATTAATTGCTGGAAAATAGTTTGAGTCATTCTTACAGACTCAGTGCCTGAGTAACCATTTGATATATGGTGGTATGAGGAAATAGTTAGAAGTATGTGCAGCAAAACTATAGTGTTGAATGATCAAACATTTTGCTCTTGAAAACTGCTCCCTTATCTTTCTAGTCTTAACATCTTGCTAGTGACCTTGTTTTCAAAACAGAACTGGCTACCTCTGTCTCCCCTTTGCAGAACACCTTACTTTGTACAGAAACACATTTCTCTTAGTGTGTGCATGCCTTTGTCCTTCATATAATGAATTGTTAAAGAATTTAAGAAATGGGGGTAGCAGCACACTTTCAGGAGTCAAAAATATATTAGTGAAATATGCCAGTGAGATAAATAATGATTCTGAATTGAAATACATCATTCATTTGGCAGTATGCAAAAGGACACTTCAGAGTTCTTTGTCTTGCAGCAGAATAATATTGAAAACAAGGAACATACCAGATTCAGATCTATGTAGTAAAGATTATTTGAAAGAAATTGTGCCTATATTGTACATGTAAAGCTGCTTGTAAGCTCATTTCTCTGTTTCGATGTGTGTCTGAAACGGGGGAAAAAAGTACTCGCTGTAGTTTTAAACACATGATTATGGACTCTTGTCACCGTCTAAAATGATGTTAATTCAGTGAAAATTTCTAGCTTAGACATCCTATGTGGCTTACATACTTGTATGAATAAATTCTACTAGAGAGTTATTTTATCATTTCAGTCTGTGTACATACAAAATGCTTCCTGCCTCAAGTATTTTAAGAAAAACTTCCCTTTTTTTAAGTAGAGAATGGTGTTTTGAATAGCTTTGGCTTGGGAAGTGCTGGGAAGTAAAGGGCGAGGATCTCAGTATTGGTTCCTTCATCCTTTTGCAAAGATAAGAGATAAGTATAGTGATCTTGCATCTTTTTATCACTGGGTAAATCATTTGGCCTGAACTCTAAATGAAATTAAAATATGCAGGATTCCTGCTCTTATTACCCTTAACATGTAACTGGGAGTAAAAGGTAGCTACTACATGTCATGTGGAGTTAGAATCCCTTAATATTAAATCTTTTACGTGTTCTAGGAAATGAAACAAAGTGTTCAGCCATTTGATAAAACATAGAATCATAGAACGGTTAGGGTTGGAAGGGACCTCAAAGATCATCTAGTCCCACCCGCCCTGCCATGGGCAGGAAACATATATACAGGCTTCTGTTTTCCCTCATCATTTTTTTTGGAACTTAGGAACTTTCAACTTGTTTATTATTGTGGCCCTTCTGAAAGTTTAAGTTATGCTAATAATTATTAGTGCTATTGGAAGGCTCATGGCTCCTTAAATGTTGAAGATAGCATGGGCATTCTGCTAACTCTGTTTCCAAACTCCCCTGCCCTTTACACCTCTGTAGCAAAGTAGTATGTAGTATCCATCAAGAATAATGGACTTTCAACCTCTCACATTCAGATGGGTTTGTTCTTTAACTTTTGTATTTCAAAAGTGTCCTGTAAACTGTGATATTGAAGTAGTACAGTACTTGGGCCGTATTATC